GTTATTTTTAATGTTCGTGCGATGCTTAATATTCTTCAAAGTTGAACTTCTAAAGGTCTTTATCTAACTGTTCTGACCTTTAACTGAATAAAATGCTTAACATGCTTCAATGTAAATATTTTTTTACTTGATGGATCTTTTGCTTCTCATTGTAGACTATTTTACACTTTCCTTGCATTGTGAAGATACTCCTTGTGATGAAGAACTTTCGTCGTATCGCACTTAGATAATCTTTATAAATTTTTATTTTTCTGATTTCTCTTTTGAAAATTATTATATTTGAGTTCATTACGTGTGCCAATTTCAAGTACTCTTTATATTAAATAAATATCTGTCCAATCCTTTAGAATAGATAAGATACCCTAACACATTATACTTATCCCAACAAATAAACCAACTATGATTCACAAAGTTAGAAGATGTGCCGCCCTCCCCTACCCATTTTCAACTGTGGTATGTTTATTTTTTCAAAATTCCCTTTAATATTTGCTTGTTGTCACATTTTTAATATGTTTTCAAGTCACCAACAAATATTGACAAAATACTTTTGAAGTTGAATTTGTCGGGGAATTTATAAAGCATTACATAGTAAGCAGGTTCATCATTCTACTTCATCGATTAAACAATTTATTATTGATTAACAGCTACCTCAGAGATGATCATTTTTCAATAAATTCCTTTCCATTAATCCATCTTCAAATGCTTTATTTCATATTACAAAAGATGGGAGTCCTACTATAGTATTTAAGCATGGACTTCATGTTGTTCTATATTTACATGCCTTCAGCTAATTATCCTTTTAAATCATGGTTTGATGCTCGGTGGCTTTATGCAGTAAGCTAATTAATCTTGGCTCTTGCTTTAATTGGGACTTGAAATGATCTGCCATAATCAGGTAAGTATCATAAACCCAAGCACTTCAATTTTATTTTTTTTAAAGGACTATATCACATCCTTACTAAATTCAACTCTAAATAGCTTGCTTTTACAAATCGAATGTCTCTTGTCAAAATAGTCAAAGTTAGGTGGTAAAGTGGTATGTAAAATTTGTAAAAGAGGTCACAAGGGGCTAGCTTTACAAGATGTCATCAATGCTTGTCTAGGTATAAAAAAAAAAAAAATAAATAAACAAAATAATAATAATTTGATTAGACAGCACAAACATTCTTCTTTTGCTCTACTTAAGTAATATTCTTTGAAATTATTTTCATCTGCAAAAGTTAATGAGTTCATTTGCAGTTGGGTAAAAAGTAAAAACTAATTCAGTAAATAGCTTCAACTGGGAACTGATTCACTTCTTACGTTGAAACTCATTTTCCAAAGTTATTACTTCAATAAAGCATTAGCACAACATTTTGTGTTCTTTGGCCCAAGTTATAACTGTAACATATGGCAAGTGCATTTTAGGGCTCGAGAATCTTGGCTTTCTGGTAAATTTCATTAGTCCATATTATATGAATGCACCGATCATGAAACTTAACTTGAGAAAATGAAGACTTGTGCTATGCACGTGACTTATTGTTATTTACCAAAATTATTGAAAAATGTTGCAGGGTATGGGGATTCTTGTGGGAAAACATTCTGTATATACAGCTCTTGGATGTGTTCGTCCATCGGTTGTAAGCATAAAATTTCTTTCTATTTTTCACTGATTGAAGTCCATTCTTATGTTGGATGCTTAAGTTTTGTATGAAAATCTTATGGAGTGTTTTGTGTGTCAAGCATATTTGCGGGGTTTTGACATCCTAAATAGGAAGAAGCATTTAAATCCATTAATCTGGCTTGAAATATTGCAGCACTTCGCACTTTCTGCTTGATATGGCCCACATTTGATAAAAAAGTGTTGAAAGAATGTGTTTACATGATAATGCTGAGGTGCTTCTTATTCATTGCTTCCCATCTATGTTTATATTTGTCAACTTTTATCACTTGGATTAGCTAAAGATCTATTATTAAGTTCATATTTACATGGAGCCGATACTTTTTGTTTTCCGTTAACATATAAATATGTTTGGTGCATGAATTTTGCAAAAGAGTGAACTACAAACTTGGATGTACGTTATACACACAAACATAAACCCCATTTAAATTTGGAAGAATAATAATTAAGTAGTAAGGACATATGAGATAAGAATATTAATAAATAAGGGATGGTGATTTGAATATCTATATATAAAATTAATGTTGGAAAGGATGGTATGTAGAGAATGTGATACAAAAATACATTGTTGATTTGGAGTTTAGACTGGTCATCATATTTGTGCCAAGAAGAGAATTTAACTGTGTGAACTTTAGTCAGTGTCAAACATCACAGTATTGCATAAAATTATAGTTGCATTTTTAGAATTGGTTTTGATATCGTTGATATTTGTGTTCTTCCAAAGTTTTAACATTTCTTTTACATCCCCACTCCCCCAAAATGGCTATTGCTAGATAAGTAGAATAAGATAGTGATAAGTTCTCATAACTACATTCTTATGGCGGTTGCATGTTTTCCTCTAAAATAAAGATTGTGAACATGTAGTATCCACTCTACGAAACGGTTCGGTTGCTGAAAATGATGTTGCAATTATGCAACACAAAGACACCCTCCAACGCAAGAAAGGCATCAGGTGACATCAGGAACTGGGAAATTTACTTCTAATCACATTATTGATCTTGAAGGAAGCAAGGGACTGAAAGTTATTTAACTTGCAAAAAAGATTTAGGTTAGAGTAAACTATTGCTTGGTTACTCCTAATCTGGTTTAGGAGATTCTTCATATTTTTTCTGATTTAAGTTTGAATCTATGAAAAAAGTTGGGCTCTGTCATCTAACTAGAAGCAAAACACCAGAGGGTTCTATTTCTGTTGGTTTCTCTACTGATCCAATATTTTTTCAAAGAATAGTTCCTTGAATGTATTGTTTGTGATATTCTCTTTTCGTTTTTTTCCCTACTGTTTTATTTTTATTTTTATATTTTTCTCTTGTACCCCCTTTTTGTTTTTTTCGTTTGGGTATCTTCACTCGCAAGAAATTCTACTTTCATTTAACAATTTTGAAAGAAGGGATTTCCTTCGTTAATTGATGTATTTTTATAATGGAATAGAGATGGAAAAATACTTGAATTCGAATCAACTTATGAATATCTTTAATGTTTACAGATGAATCTCTCAAATTTACATAAACTCATTCTTAACATTAACCAATTAACGTGTAAAGCACGTTCACCCTACTAGTATTGTTAAAAAGTAGGGAATTTTTTTAATTTTCGTGTAAAATTATTTTATTGAAAGAATGTGTGACTAAAAATGAATTTTTAATAATGGGGCTCAATCAAGGGCTATGTTTTGTTTCCAAATTCTAGTTGACGTAAAAATAGACTAATGGATGGTCATTAAACTCAATAAATTTGTTTTCAACTAGAATAATGCTTTTCATAATGAAGATAGGGGGTAATCGCCCTACATGACATATACAATGAAATTTATTATACATTTCTGAACATCTTCTACCCTTCAAAGTCTTATTAAATATTTCATCAACCCATAAAATCCAGTTCCACAGGCACTTTTATAATCTTTGCTCTTTTTAGCCTCAATTTTGATGAAGAAAATTATGGCACTTTATAGTTTTGTTAAAACTCGAACAACTAAAGAATATCATTAGCTTTAACAAGAAGCAAAATTGGAGACTAGTTGAAGGATAACAATCAAACTCGATTTCTCAATTAAAATATATCACATTTTTTCCTACATTTTAATCACATTCTCATAAAAAATCACTAATATGAAACTCATTTTTCACAAAAATGAGACTCAAACATAAATGAATGATCTAATGAGCATCGATACTCATTTTATGTTAAGTATTGATAACATGTTATATTAATTCATTAGTGAATAAAGATTTTGCAGTTCTTAATATTTGAATTAAATTTATTATCCACCAATAAATTAATATGACATATTACTGGTACTTAATATAAGATGATCGGTACTCATTATATTATTCCTTCTCAAACATAAGCAAAGTCTTTGTTTGATAATTATTATTTCAGAACTCTTTTTTTTGTAAATATTTAGCCTCTTTTTGGCCTTTTTTTTTTTTTTTCAAATTTTAATATTTGAAATAGTGTTTTGTTGCAGAATGTGTAGTTGAAAAAATAAAAAATTTTCAATTTACTTGTAATATTATTTTATGGTAGATTGTGTGGTTGAAAGTAAGAATGAAAAGAAAAAATTAAGCCCCTGTTTGATCCCCATTTTGGGAAAAAATGTATTATAGAATAGTGATTTTTGGAGAATGTGTGATTAAAAAAGTAAAAAGATTTTTCAAATATGTATATTATTATTTTGTGGAAGAATGTGTGGTTGAAAATGGGAATTGAAAAAATGATTTTTGAAAAAATATGGATCAAACATGGGTGAAAAAATGAAAGGGGGCCAAATGGGGCATTTTCAAATATACATTCACAGAATAAAATATTTTTCACGTAATCTAAAATAATTTTCTACTTTTTAATCATAAACTATTATTTAAAATATTATTTTTCTGAAATAATGATGGTCAAGTAGAGGTTAAATACTTAGAAAATGGGAGTTTGAGGAGTTAATTTTTCCAATGGTCACTGAATTTAGATTCATGTCTTTGATTGACCACTGAATTTTAAAATGTTGAGTTTTGGTCATTGAGTGTCTTAGATCCATGTCTTTGATTGACCACTGAAATTTAAAATGTCGAGTTTTGACTATTGAATTTTGAAAAATGTCGAGTTTTGTTCACTGAACTTAGATCCATGTCTTTGATTACTCATTGAAATTTAAAATGTCGAGTTTTGACCACTGAACTTTGAAAAATGCTATATATTACTCACTAAACTTTGCAAAATATTGTAGATTACTCACTGAATTTAGAAAAATGTTGTACTTTATTCACTGTAAAGTCGATATTTTTCAAAGCTCAACAGTTATGCTAGTGAGTAACGTACGACATATTCTAAAGTTCAGTAGCCAAAATTCGACATTTTAAATTTCAATGAGTAATTTAAGACATGGACCTAAATTCAATAAACAATCGAAAACATTGACTTAAGTTCAGTGATCAACACTCGATATTTTAAACCTTAGTGACTAATAAAAGATATGGACCTAAGTTTAGTAATCAAAACTCGATATTTTTCAAAGTTTAGTGATCAATAAAAAACATGAATTTAAATTTAGTGACTATTGAAATAATTAACTCGAGTTCGAGGTTTCGTAATTGTTGACAAAGTAGTGCAAAATGGGGCAGTTTTTAATCCCACGCATGGATCGCTGGAAAGGAGAAGCCCCCGTAAACCAAAGTCGGACCCGAATTTGTGGTGGAAAAATTAATTGCATAAATTAAAGTGCAAAGGAACGTGTGAGTTTTGGCCCCTAATTTCTTGCCACATGCAGCGTCAGCTCCATTTTCGCTCCCACTTCCCCATGTCTCCTCTTCAAGGCTCAAAATTAATCCACAATTCTTTTCTCAATTTTTGAAAACAAAATCCACGCAGAATTCACCAGTGGCTCACATTTTTTCCCAAAATTACAAAGAAATAATCACTACAAGTTTTCACACTTTTGTCTTACAAATTAGTTTATTGCTTTTCCGTATCTGCTTGCTCCAATTGATCCAACTCTTGAGTGTATAATAT